AGTCCTTTTCAGCCATAATTCCCAGCCCAGGTCTGGCCCCTAGTTCCCCAGAGGTAATCTGTTTGGGATAGGTCTTTGCAGGCATTATTCTATGGATTTTTAAATATGCATACACGTGTGCACATGTGTGCATGTATGTGTCCAAAGATGGCAAATGGCTAGTATCTGTTAAACTTAAAACCTGAGAGCCTTGCACATATATGGGCAAGGAGGCATGAACAGCTTGGTTCACTGCAGCACTGCCTATAATTTTGAAAAAACTGGAAAGTCTAATGTCCTTCAATTGCAAATTACTAAATAAATTATGGTATCTGTTCTATGGATAAACTGTGGTAGGGCCGTATGTGCTGACCTGGTATGCTTCTCAATGGCAGAACAATACGTCCCATATGATAACATTGAAGTTAGTAATAGAAAGTTCACTGATTTGAAGGCTATGCTAGGCATTTGGAAGCTGATTAACTACTTGAATGAAGAGGCAGACAGGTGCAGGTCACGCAGAGGGGCCTCAGAGAGTGTGCACCAGCCAGAGAATGTGACTTCAAGTTTGTAGCTCAGTTTCTCCTTCCTGCCTTTTCCTTTCCTTCTTTCAGGCTCTTCTTATGGAAGAAGTTTACCAAGGAGGCCAGCCCCTCTTCAGGTCATTTTCAAGGAGAGGGGAAGGCCATAGAGTATAGTCACAGCTGCTTACAAATGCAGAATAATGAAATCCAATCTCCCATGCAGACGCGTGGGAGCCAAAGGCTGGTACATGTTGCCCCGGGAGCCTGGGCCAGGCAAGGTCAGGTCAGGACTTGCACTTGGGTTGCAATTCAGGGAGCAGAGTATGATGTGAGAGACAAGTGGGAAAATCCTAAATGAGAGCTAAACTGACCATTATTAATTCAGAGAGGCTTGGTGAATTCAAAGAGAAGTGACAGCCCTAACTAATCCATGGAAAGACAAGAACATTTAAGGTTGGAGGAAGAAGTAAAAGATTTCTTAAGCCAAGAGAAACAAAGTGACCCAACTGTTTTTATTAGATGCCTTTGGGGAAGGAGATGTTCTGGGCAGCAACCTAACTCAGGCAAAAGACTATTTTAAAACCCAAAACTCTGTTATGTTTAAATATCTTTAAAGAAAACTATTATATCAAAATGAGATTATGTGACTGTACTTCGAGCATATGAACATCTCTGCATCATTGCACATGGACATAAACCCAAATACCACGTTTTGAAATAGACTGTATATTTTTTAAAACAGCATTATCATGTTCTTGTGATGAATTTGCAGGAATGTGGGTTAAATTCAAACCCAAAACTAAACACTTATTTTCTCTGTTTCTTTCTTCTCTAGACCATAGTCAGCATTAGGAATGAACTCTGGAGGACTCATGAATCCATTAAGGCTCTCCATAAGGAAAGAAGGTAGGAGCCATGTGTGTGCACAAATACTGATGGCAGAGACAAATCAATATCGTTTCCATTTGCTTTTGTAGAAAAATTTTCTACAAAGATTTTACCATGCTTTCTGTGTGTGTGTGTGTGTGTGTGTGTGTGTGTGTGTGTGTGTGTGTGTGTAATTTGGATGGCGTTCCTTAAACAGAGAACTCAATGATTCCAGTATGAAGGTAGAGGGGGGCTTTGACTCTATTTGAGCATAACAGAAATTATCTGGCTAATTATATTAAGTTTTGAATTTTGAGTGCTTGAATTTTTATTCCTTGAAAGTTGGTTAAACATTTTCAGTGAATTATTGATTCTGTGTGTGTCTTGTATGTATATTTTACCTACTTCTAAAGAAATCAGTACATTTTCTCCAACAGCATCTAACTTTCTACCAGGTTTATTAGGTTTGTTGGAAACTGTCTACCGTCTTTTCACTGTGTGTCAAGGAACTAATTACTCCCAGAGTTCCTATCTCCTGTTGTCATTTATTTTAGAAAACAGAATTCTTAGATCCTCAAGAAGTTCCCTCTAAGGGAAGACTTTTTTTTTTCAGGCACAATTCTTGGTATTTTGTAGATGACATACACACACACACACACACACACACGATGAGATGTGCTTCATAATGTAAATGTATGAAAGATAAGTAACATTTTTTAAATTCTGTGATAACGCATGAAAAGAAGCTTAGTAACACTTTTATCATTTAATAATTTAAATGTTAAAAGCAATTTTAATCTTTTTCATGGTATAAGAAAAATAAGTTAGATGAAATTAAGTAGTATAGCAATAAAAAGGCAATTTTGAAACCTAAAATGTGGAAATAAAAAGGAAATTTTGAAATTTCATTCTTTAAAACAATTCTTAAAATAATTATCTCAAGCTAATTATTTTAAACAAAGTTATCCCCTTTTATATAATTCATACTCACTACACACATTGTTGGTCTCCTGTAAGATATTTGTCAACACAAAGTATACCAAAGTGTGAGGCCGATTAATAAATAAAAGCTATGTGAAGGCTTTATCCTTGACCAGTCTGTATCATTATTTTTATCAATGATTTGGATAAAATAGTAGAGGGCATCCTTTTCAAATGTGTGTGGCATGATGTCAAAAGTCATAGATAATAAGCTGAATGATGATCTCAGATCACTAAGATGTGATAGTGTGTAACAGTGGGGCAATTAATAAAGACTAAGTTTTAAGGAATTAAATGCAAGTCCTACAAGCATAGGCCCAGGTTCAGAACCAATAGTATGGAAAAGACCTGAGATATATAGTTAACTATAAGTTCAATGACAGCCAACACTGTATCACTGATGATTTAAAAAGCAACGCAGTATCAGACTACATTAAAAGAAAGAGTGTCATTCAGTCATTAGTTGCCTATTTATTACTCGGCACTCTGCTAGGTACTGATTAAAAAGAATGTTTCCCTGCTGTGGATGATTAACCTGCCTTGGGAGTATTGTGTTCTATCTGAGGGCCCACTGCATGGACTCCTTAACTCTGGAAAGCGGAACTACATATAAAGATTTAAAAATTTACAAAGGCAGATTCCAGGTCATTTGAAAAAAATTAGTTTTGAAATAAACTGAACTATTGGTTAACAGTGGATATTTGCCTGGAAAGTATTGGGCTCCCAGTTGTGGAAATACTGACATTAGGTAAATTATGTTCACCAGAAACTCTCCATGAGCATTTCTCCTTAAAAAAGAAAGGAAGGAAGGAAGGGAGGAAGGAAGGAAAGGAGGAAGGAAGGAAGGGAGGAAGGGAGGGAGGAAGAAAGAACTATGCTTCTGGTAGGGGTTTGCCTGCTTTCACCTGGCTCTATCAAGGATTGGGGTACCTGTCTTCTAGCTGCCCAAGCATGGTGGATGGAGGAAGGAGATGGGTGGAGGGGGTGGGCAGAGGTGAACAACATGGGAGAAAGAGAACCTGGTATCACCAGTGGTCACAGCAAGCACAACACTTTTAGTGTAGAAAATACTGTCTAGAGAAGCCTTCTGAGAATATCTCTTTGCTGTCTGCTATGTCAAATCCCTAGGCTGATTCCTTTCTGGAAAACCCAGTGTAAAGATATGCTTGAAACTTCAATGATGAGGCAGGATTTCAGAGCCAGACTTGTGTTTCTCCTGAGTGTGACTGTCTGGAAGCTTTATGGCCATCCTTGAGAGATGCCTGCTTCGAGATGGGAGCCCTAATTAAATTCTAAGACCTCTCCAAGATCTACAGCAATTAGGAATTTCAAAGGCTCTAACACTGAGAAATGTTGTTGCATTTCCCACCAGAAAGCCCATTTCTACAAATTCCACAAATATGCCAACAGCACTGATCAAAGAATAAGACTGTATTTTAGTAAGCCAATTTTAATTGTACACATACTCTGTAACAGGGGCTATATTAGGCCTGGGTTGGGAATATGGCAACAAGCAAAACAGAAAGAAAAAGTTGTCAGAATAAAGAGATAAACAATTATTAAATAATAGAGTGAGCAATCCATAAGAAAAATAATAAGCAAAACAAGAAGTATGTCATATAATGTGACTGTCCAGAAGTTTAAAGGCTGGAGACTTAGTCAAAATCTAAGATCGCTTCATACTCCGTGACAATTAGACATGGCAAAAAGCCATGGCGGCAAATAAAGTAGGGAAGGGGATTGGGAGGTGCTGGAGGTGAGGCGGCGGGGGCNGGGGGGGGTCCTGGTTTGCAATTTTAAGCAGGGCAGTCAAGGATGACCTCACTAAAAATATGACAGTGAGAAAAGACTTAAAGAGGAGGGAGAAAGCCAAGCAAGAAACTGAGGGAAGGTGGGTTCCGGGCAGAGGGGCCAGAGGAGCAGACTCAGGGGAGACCGTGCCTAGCGTGTTCACAGAGCTGTCAAGAGCTCTGTGTGGCTGAAGGGCAGTGAGAGAGCAGAAAGCAGGGAGGAGGTCGAAGTGGAAAAGAGGGTCTTGGCCATCCTGTTGGGCCTTGTCTGCCTCTGTAAGGACTTTTATCCTAAATAAGGAGGGGAACCATTGGAGCGTTTTGAGCACAGGACTGACGTGATCTGCCTTAAGAATTACTCTGACTACTTGGTTCATTCTTAAACCAGTGAACAAGTAGACTGAGGGAGAGAAGCCAAACAAACTCACTATTCATGAATTGCATCGTTGTTTTTTCCCGGTGGACTCGGGGAGGTGTTAGGTGTTTATACGTGACATGTACACTATCATTCTAAATGGAGCATTTCCAGACAAAAGCATAACAAGTAAAAGTCAATATTCAAATTTAAGTATCTGGTGATGGTGTGCTATCAAAAGTAACTCATAACATGCTTGATGAGTTTTTTAAAACATCTCTAAAGCCAATTTAAAATTCTTAGTGGAGTCGTGTACTAATAGACACAAAGGGCAGCTGTACCTAATGAACAAAGAGTTTAAAACAGGATTGATCAAATAGTTGAGGCACAGGCTTCTCCAGCATCTTCTCCCACAGAGAGAACCTGGAGTACATCTTGCTGGGGCTCTAATTAGTGTGCTGGCTTCTTGTCCTTACCACCCACTCAGACCTGTCCTCTTTCCAGGCTCCTTAAAACACAACTACACCGATGCAAGGACAAGTTGCAAGCCATCTATGCCTCCCAGGAAGAAAAAAGTTGCCGATTAGAAACAAAGATTCATGAACTCACAGCTAACCAGGATAGTCTCCGGGCCAGCCTGCAGCAAATGGGACAGGATCTACAGGTATAAAATGTGGGAGACTGGCCACCTGGACCACGTGGAAGTCTGACCTCAAACCCTCTGGTGAAGGGAAGTCTGCAGCCTGCAGCTTCACACTTCACCTTGACCAGCCTCTTCCCTTACCCTCTTCTCTCCATATCTCCACCAACTCCTACTTTCCATCCTTCAGACTATATACTCCCCTTTGTGAAGACAGCGCCACTGGGAGAGAATAGTGTCGGTACAATTTAGAAACAACAGACCTGGGGTAAAGCGGTTCCATTCAGCATTGATTCTTTTTTTTTTCATTCATTCATTCATTTATTTATTTATTTGTTATTGTTAGTTTCAGGTGTACAAAACAATGCACTAGTTATCCTTTTCACCCCTCACAAAGCAATTCTTAATTAAACCTTTTGGTCTTGGCATCCCTCTGACATTCTTAAACATTTCTGAGGATCCCAAGGAGTTTTTGTGCATTATATCTACCGCTATTTACCATAATCAAACATTAAGACTAAGAAGTGGTTGAAAAATGAATTTATTAACTAATTTAAAATGAAAATAATAAATCTATTATATATGTAACATTTTTAAACAGTAACTACATATTTTTTAAACCTAGAAAGTGGCACCATTTTACTTTTTTTTTTTTTTTTTTTTTTTTACAAATCTCTTTAATATCCAGCTTACCAAAAGATGGCTGGATTTTTCATAACTGCTTCAGCATTCAATCTGTTACAAGATGTTTTGGTTGAAGTATATGAAGAAATCTGGTCTCACACAGATTTGCAGTTAAAAAAGAGAGTGTTTTAATAGCCTTTTCAGATAATTGGAGGTCTTCTATGCTGCTACACCAAAACATGACAAAAGACTGTTTTTAAAGGAGAGTTCCAATATTGAATCTGAAACTATATCTATTTTACACTGTTTCATTAAAATACAATGCTCTTTGAATGAACCTTATACTCATGCATGATTTTGTAGCATCATACATTGTCATTTAGAAGTTCAATTAGCTAGCCTGGACTTCCTAACACTCACCCATCGATTATACACAACCAAAAAAAAAAAAAACCCACATCCCACATTTATTAATATCACCACTAATCTCATCAGAAAAGTCTTTAAGAATTGGAATCAAGCCCATGGTGGTGGATGCAAGTTTTCCAAAATTCTAATTTTTGCTTAAAAACTCAACCTTTAAAATTGGCAACATACATCGTTATGTGTTTTTCTCACTGCGACAGTCTCATTTTGTTCATTTTTGAGAAGATGTTTGCCAAATACCCAGGTCTGAATAACATAGCCGTTAAGTAATTCTTTCACACAAAAGGCAACTTTTATATTTTGGTAAACATCAGGAGTGTTTTATGCACACTTCCCATTTCATCACATATAATATTTAAAAGACATGTTTTATTGTTAAGGAAATTAAAGATTTTGCTACACTGTCAAGGATTTTCTTAAGTGGAACTGCCTTTTTTTTTTTTTTAACTACAAGTGCATGGTGGTGAAGAATTGCATGACAGCTAAGACATAACACTGTTTAGTGATGCAGCTTTGATTTGTGTCTTGCTGTTTTTAGTTTTACCTACTCTTGATTTTGTGCCCTCCATGAAAATGTCAACACAATGATCAGGCCAATAACATCTAAGTATCATTGTGAAAATAGTTTCGACCTCATGGACCTACCTCTAAAATGGCCTCAGGGACCTCCAGGAGTGTGTGGACCACATTTGGGAACTGTGCTTTGTAGGGAACACACATCCTAGATTTTAAACCTATGTATTATCATGAAACCCTTCACAAAATACATACCTAGATAGATCATTACAAACATATTTTATTTACAACTTTTTAGTCTATCAGTTCAATATAGGCTAATGTTTTCAGAAATTCCTTATAACACACACACACACACACACACACACACACACACACACATACACAATATCATCTTTTCATTTGGAAATATTCAGTATATATTTTCAAGAAAAACAGACTCTTTTTTAAAACATAACAACAACATCTATACTAATCAATCATTTCCTAGTATCATCAAGTGTCCAGTACATGTTCATATTTTTTCAATTGTCTCAATTTTTTTCTACAGTAGATTACTTAAATTATAATCCAAACAAGGTCTATGTCACATAATGCCATTTGGTCTCTTAAGCCTCCTTTAATCTATAGTTTTCTCCTCTCTTTTTTTTCCTTGCCATTTGTAAAAGAAATTGAAAGTCTGTGCTTTGAAAGACATAATATGACATCTTATATCTATTTTAAGAGTTTTGTCTTTAAGGAGGAATGCCTTCCTTCCAAGCATATTTCTTGTATTTAAATATGACTTCCTATTTTTCTTTAGAATAGAAGGTAATCAAACATCAAAAGTGGATCTTAGAAATGTTTCAGTATTTGGTGTAAACAATGAAGAATCAAAAAACCACTTTGCTTTGTAGGTTTATTATCTGATATGGCTCACGGGAAGCAAGGCCAGCTCTCAAAAAATAACTCCTGTCCCACCTCCCACCAGGCCTGAAAAACCATCAGTAAAGATGTCCCTGGTGTCTTCAAGCATCATAAATAAGGCTTGCCAGTCACTAACACTTTCAAAAGTCAGGCTCTGACAGCTTAGATAGGTGTGTGTGGTACAGGAAGAGAGGAAAAGCCTGAGGAGATCTAGCCCAGAAAAAAAAAAAAGAAAGAAACTCCTTATATTTTCAGAACCTGAGATTTTAGAACCTAATTTTTTCCCAAATTCTTTTTTATTATTCCCTGTGACATTTTAATATCTGAGCTGTTTTCATTTTTGTAGACAGATTTAACAGCATAAAATAAAATTAATAGTAATATATTTAGAGAGCAGAAAAAAATCTTACATTAAAGTTTTCTATTAAAATATTTAAATTTCATGCATTTATGAAAAAAAGTAAGATAAATGTTCATTTCTTCATAAATAAAGCTTTCTTTCTGCAGGCAATGTTGCAGCCACGCCATCCTTTATCTTCCTCCTTTCAAAATATGGTTTCCAAGGGTGACCATGGAAGAGGTGAAAGGGTTCAGAGGGAAGGAGATTCTTCCCAGAACAAGAATGTCCCTGAGGATGGTTCGAAATGGGAACCTCTTCCTAACCACACTGTGACTAACAGGAATCACGGAAGTCGAGCAAACCCAGAACATAGTCTACCAAATTCAGAAGCACCAGGGGCCATGTTACAGCCAACATCAACTCAAAGCACCAGGACACAAAGCCAAGCACAAAAGACCTCGAAGGAAATCCTTAGTTCCCCATCCGGTTCCCAGGAAGGATTGCTGCAGGACACCCCCAAAATGACTCCTGTTGAAATACACAGTCCTGCTCTGGCACTCGTGCAAAGGAAAGAGACACTTAACAACCAGGAGGAAAAGGATGAGCTGGAGGAAGAGGAACTGCAGGAATTATTGTCAAAACTTATGGATGCCTTCACTCTAGAAATGCCATCAGGTAAGATTTTCACAATCAATATATAGTGATGGGATTCAGCCTACCTTTTATTATAAAACACTTAATTTTATATAACATTAGCCCAATAGCTACAATTCATCTAGTGAGTAAGCTTCCCTGGTGGTCTAATGGTTAGGATTCGGCGCTCTCTCATCTAGTGAGTAAACAGAGTAGTGAATCTTTTGAATATCAGTAGCATCTCTGAACTTGATTTCTAGTATTCCCTAACTGGTAGGTAGGGTTGCTGTGAGCATTAAAGACGATAAATCATATGAGATTTTAGTGTAGTACCTGGCACATACCAAGAATTCGATAAATGCTTATTATTTTGTTATTGCAGTTATTATTATCAATTGTGCTAAAACATAGATAACTGTACAGCCTGATGTTACCATTTAAAAATGGGGGTAAGAATGATGCACTCTTTCTGAAGAACAATTAATGAAAGTTTTTATATTACTAGTGCCACCATTATCATCATCTTCTTCTTCATAAGCTATGGTTCATTGCTAAATTCTAAAGGCTCTTTTTTCTAATCCTTCTTTGCTATTGTTATTTCTTGTGTTTTGGAGTGACATTTATTTATAGGGTGTTTTGCTATCTTATTATAGTGATATCTCTATCTATTTCTTTTTAAGAGAACCTAAGGCCTTTTATGTCAGAGTGATCATCTAGAGACTCGACATAAAACGGAAGATAACATTCTCACGTGCTTCTGCATCAGAGAAGACCTCAAAATATTTCTGGGTTAGTGTATTAGCTTGCTAGAGCTACCATAACAAAGTACCACAGACTGGGTGGCTTTAACAAACAAACAAAAATTTATTTTCTCACTGTCCTGTAGGCTAGAAGTCTTAGGTCGAGGTGTCAGCAACACTGGTATCTTCTGAGGCCTCTCTCTTTAGCTTGTAGATGGCTGTCTTCTCCTTGTGTTTTCACACCATTTCCCCTCTGTGCATGTCCCTATTCAAATTTCCTCTCCTTACAATGACACTACTCATATTGGATTAAGAATTAAGACCCAACAGTATAACTTCATTTTAATTTAATTAACTCTAATTTAAAGACTCTACCTCCAAATATAGTCATCCTGAGGTACTGGGGGTTAAGACTTCAATATATGAATTTGGGGAGGGAGACACAATTCAGCCCATAACAGTTGGTAAACTGTAGAATAATGTCAGTTGTATGTTGAACTTCATAAAGCCGAGTCAATGAGGTAATTATTTGGCAGATTCTAAAAATCTCTACTGTGAAGGGAGTTGGAGTTATAATCCTTGTATTAGAGAAAACAAGATCATAAAGATGCCCGAAGCATGCTCAGACTGCCTTAGGCAAATATAGAATGGGAACTCCTTGTGCCTAATTCTTAGGCTGACACAAGATTCCACCCACTCTATTTCCATCTAAATGTCACTGGGGTCATGATAAGTATTCAGAGCAAAGTCAATATCCACTTGACGTTTTCAGAAAAATTTCACATAAAAATGTCGCTTTTATTCTAGAAATTCTTTGTATGTGAGATCTTCATCTCATTTTAGTTTTTTGTTATTGGTTTTACAATTGACTTTATGAAAGCTACTGATTTCTAAAATGTTGTGTAGGGTCAGCCATCACAAATTTTGTTGGCTATTTTGCACATTTCAGATTCCTAATAGAATAGATCTACTACACATGTATGGAAGGCAATATCTGAACACTTTGTACAGCTTGATGCCTAAAGATAAAAGATTCATGCATATTTTAAGTGACTATATCAAGGCCTGTCATGATATCATCAAAGGAAAAACCATGAAAAAGTAAGATTCATTTCTAAATTCAGATGATATAATAAGGTATAAAGATGCAATTAATATTATTCAATCCTGTAAAATATATAAAAAATATGTCTCAACACATTTACTTCTGCTTCCATTTACAATTTAAGTAGAACCAGGGAAATGTTTCTGCAGGGAGTATGCATTATGATACAAAAGTTCTTACGATATTAGCAAAAAGATGCACATTTTCAGGGGCTGGCCAAGTGGCTCAGTTGGTTAAGAGCTCGCTCAAGAGTTTGAGCTCTGAGCAACAGCAGTTCGAGTCCAGCCTGAGCTGAGCAGCCGCTGAGCTGCCAANTTTGAGCTCTGAGCAACAGCAGTTCGAGTCCAGCCTGAGCTGAGCAGCCGCTGAGCTGCCAACAGGTAGCAGGATGGCTCAGCTTAAAAAAAAAAAAAAAGATGCACATTTTCCCTTTTTGTTGTTAGAATACTGTATGCTTTGTGATTATTCAGCAGATACTAGTTGATAAGATTTAAATTTACATCCTATTCTTTTTATATTAGTCTTATTTCTTTGAGGGTTTTAGACATAGGATCTATGTCAGCCTTCCTGGTTACTATTTGCATTTGTTAAACACTGTCACTCCTCACTGAAATATTTCTTATTAAGCTCATATTCTTATTCAGTCTGGTATTGAATATGATCCTGTTTGTGAATTCCACTTAGCCATTGGCAATATGGATTATAAAAATATACTCCACAATTTATGCATAACCTATGCATGCTTCCCAGAATTACCTCAAACTTAATCAGAGACAGGAGTATGATAACCACACTGATGAAGATGTGGAAAGGCAAATAAATTAAGTCATTGATTACCCTTGTTTTATTTCTATCCCTGTCATAGATGAATTAGATAACAGCAGGAAGTTTCTGATCATTTTACTGTCCTAGTTTTTTTTTTAATTTGAGAATTGTTGGGAAAATTAGAAAGATGTACTATTTGTAACATGCTGAAATTTACTCAGTGTCAGCATATCTACCCAACATATTATCCTAGTAGCTGACTACCCTTTTGGATTGGAGCTTTCCTAAGGAATCAACACATCTTGGAAATTAAAATGAACTGTATATTACTTGAGGCTTATTAAGACCAAAACAGCAAGCCTCATGGTCAGTTTGGGGGCACCTGTTGACATTAACTCAATAGAGTCACTCAGTATTAAGATCTAGGATAATAGGATTTCAAGAGACTATGAGAGCTTAATGGAAAAGAGAAAGTGTGTAGAAGTGGTTCCCAAAATCTCTTTAAATTCCAAATGTTGCACTGAAAATCGGTAGCAAACAATTTGTTCAAACTTGCAGTAAAGGAATTAAATTGAAAGAGCATCTAACACTACTTCCTTCTGTGGTGACAAAGTAATCTTACTTTCTCATTAAATTATTATCTTTCCATTTTGAGTAAAATTTCCTGTGTACAGCTCTGAAATTATTTCCCCAGCTTCTCTCCCGTACCTTTTTGCCCTCTACTCACCAGTGTAGGTTTCAAGGATGACAAGGGAAGGCGAGGGGGTAGAGGGATGGGATTAGGGGAACCTGGTTAAGGGTGGAAATGTTGGGGGACAATTCCTGTTCCTTTCTTCCCCATCTGGAATCATCATCTAAACAATTATTTAAAGAAATCAAAAACTGAAGCTTGAACTTCAGCAAATTGTAAGAAAATAAAGAACAGTGCTTTAGCAACCCCAGAGAGAGAAGTTCAGTAGTGTATCTTTATCTCACTTATTTAGAAAGTAGTCTTCTCAAATGCTGCCTGGGAATCCTAGGGATGTGTACTGAAATTTTAATAAATCCCCATGAAGACAGAGAAAAGTGTTCATCATTTATTCACTCATTCGTCCATTTAACAAATAGTCATCAAGCATTTACTGTATGCCAAGTGCTGTGCTGTATGCTGGGCATTCCTTTAGAAAGAAATAGATATATGTTTTTAAAACACTCTGGCATTGAGGAGATCCAAGATGGCGGAACAGATCAATGCTGTGTTTGCCTCATTCCATGAACACATCAGAATTACAACCAAATTATAAAACAATCAACCTGGAGAACCATCTGAAGTCTAGCTGATCAGAAGTTTCATAACAGGATATAAAGAAGAAACCACATCAAGACTGGGAGGAGGGGCAGAAATGGGAAACAGGCCAGTTCCATACCCATGTGTGGCGGTTGAAAATCAGGAGAGATATCTCAGCCACAGAGGTTCCCCACGAAGGAATGAAGGACCCGAACACCCAACACCCACCTCCCCAGCCCAAAGTACTAGTGTTGGGAAGAGGAGCCCCCACAACTTCTGACTATCATCTTTCTAGTGTTGAGCCTGTCCACAACAGGCCAAATCTGAATCTGATTGGCCTGGTGACCTCTGCTGATCCACACTGCTGACTCACTGAGAGGCTTTATCAGCAGTTGAATCTTACAGGAGCCAGCAGGTGGCAGCAGGACTTGTAGTGTCCTGGCTTTTTGCAGAGTTACCCCAGACCCACTACTGGTGGCAGTCATCTTCGGTTCACAGTGTGGCCTCTCCCACATGCCTCCAGGTACAGGACTGGCAGTGACCACACTTTGTAGCTCCTGCTAGGTACTCCTCAGTCAGTCATAGGCAGTGGCTGACCTGGCCTGCACCAGAGTCTCTCCCAAGAGGACCCGGCACCAACGTACTTGGAGGTTGGCTTCAGACCACAGCAAAGCACCCACCCAATTAGCCCCACAAGTGGCAAACACAAAGGATGGTCTCAACAGGCACCAGAGCCCACTGACGCAAATCCCGCTTTGTGGGGTAAGCCCCCAGTACAGCACCTATAAGCTGTGGATGTGACCAAACCCCACAGCCAGTCAGCCTGAGGGTCATTCTCACCCACTGACATGCCAACAGCAATCAAGGCTCAACTACAACAGGAGGGCATACACAACATACACAAGGGAAACTCCTGAAGCACCCAGAGCAGATGACCAAGGAGACTGAGCCACTGGGTCCCACAGGACCAGTACTAGGAGACCCCACCCAGTAAGACTGGAGACATAGCAGCCTTACTTAATACATAGAAACAGACACAGAGGGGCAGCCAAAATGAGGAAACAAAGAAATACAACCCAAATGGAAAACTAGGTGAAAACTCCAGCAAAAGAACTAAACAAGGGCCAGCTGAGTGGCTCATTTGGTTAAGAGCTCGCTCAAGAGTGTGAGCTCTGAGCAANAGCGGTTCAAGTCCCGGTCCGAGCTGAGCAGCCGCTGAGCTGCCAACAGGTGGAAGGATGGCTCAGCTAAAAAAAAAAAAAAAAGAACTAAACAAAATAAAGCCAAGCAACTTACCAGATACAGCGTTCAAAACAATGGTTATAACGATGCTCAAGGAACTTAGTGAGAACTTCAACAGAGATAGCAAACATAAGAAAGGACATACAAACTATAAAAAAAAAAGAACCAGTCAGAAATGAAGAATACAGTAACTGAAATGAAGAATATACTAGAAGGAATCACCAGCAGACTAGATGAACAGAGTAGATATTCAATACTATTGGTATGCTTAATTAATTATTGTTGTATGGAAGACACAGGCTCAGTATTTCAGTTGCCCAGAAAAGTAATCATAGTCTAGATAACCTAATACTTTTAAACCTCTATATCCATCATCCTGATAGCCTTCTCCTACACCCCTGATTCATTCAGACACCAGTTAGATTTTTAATAACGTTCAAGTGAACTGTTTTCCCATTGTGGTATCCTCTGGAATGCTGCTTTCACAGGTATTTCTATTTAACATCTCATTAGGCCTCCAGCTATGTGCTGAATTTCAAGTATATGCCAAATAACACTGTAGGTGCTAGGTGTATATCTTTGGCTATTTTTAACATTTTAAGATACTAGAGCTTAAAAAGAAAACAACCAAACAATGAGAAAACTTCCATGTATGAAATGGATTAATGCTTCCCCATTTATTTATTGCTATATTTTAAATGTTTATCACTGTGGGCTGAGAATCAGAATATTCTGAAATAAGTTTGCCTCTGGACAGGGTTTTTTTTTTATTCAGGCAATAAAATACTATTTATTCAAGGTCCTTGTCATTCTGGAGTAGTGCTGGAGAATAGATAGAGTAAAAAAGTCATCAATACTCTCCTCCATGTTCAACAGAAAACAGCACACTTGGAGCTACAATATAAATCATGTAACTAAAGTATATAACTAGCTAAATAAGCCTTTCCATGTTTTCATTTCCTGTGATCTTATTTTTTATTAATTACACGAACAATATTATATGACATGTTCATTGTAAAATTAAAATGCCTAAGAGCAAAGATTTTTTTAAAAAATTAATTCTTTATCATATCCTTCACTTCCTGCCTCCTGTTCTGCAGAGGTATCCACTATTAAAAGCTTAGTGAGTTTTTCTTTAAATTTTTTTCTCTGCATTTAAGTATGTCTTTACTTCCTCAACATAAGTTAAATTGCATGTACCTTTGTTTTTTTCACTTGACAATATATCTTAAACTCTGGGCAATGTTATTTTTTAAATGTGGCATAATACCCCACAGTATAAATGTACCATAATTTATTGATTGATGTATAATTAAGCTACTTTCAATTTTTTCTTATCATAAAATTGTTTTGGTGAGTATCTTTATAACATATATTTTTGCACTCAGGTGTGAATATGTTTGAAGGATCAAGTCCTAGGAATTGAACTCTTAGGGTAAAAATTATGTGTATCAAACTTTTAGTTGATAGCTGCCAAATTATATCTTTCTACAGCACAATCCCAATTACAGTAGGTCATAGGGGACCATGCAAACCATTAATCAATAGCTATAGAGCAAATGTTCTCAAAGTGTGGTACCTAGACCAGCAGCCTCAGTATCACCTGGGAACTTACTTGACTTGCTACCTATGTGTATCTATCTATATATCTATATGATCTGCAGTCAGCAAGCTGGTAACCTAGACGGGCCAGTGAGTAGTAGTTCTGTGCAAAAGCTAATAGGCTCAAGACTTAGGAAGAGCTGATGTTTCATTTTGAACCTGAAGGCAGAAGAAATACTAATGTCCCAGTTAGAAGGCAGTCAGGAAGAAGGAATTCTCTTATTCATATTTTATTGTATTCAGGCTTTCAATTGATTGGATGAGGTCCATTCACATTAGGGAGGGCAATCTGCTTTACTCAGTCTACCTATTCAAATCCAGAAATACCCTTATAGACATACCCAGAATAATGTTGGACCAAATATCTGGGCATCATAGTCCAATCAAGTTGATACATAAAATTAACCACCATGCATACTGAATCAGAACTCTGGGTGGGATCTAGCAATCGCTTTTAACACTCTCCTGGTGGTTCTGATACACACCAGAGTTTGGAAACCACTGCTCTAGAGTGGGCTTTCTGGCTACTCTAATTTGTGCTTGGAGTTATCAGAAAATGCCCTTTAAAAACCAACAACTTGGAGAATGACCCAAGAAGGCAGAGTAAACACTATGCCTGCCTCATCCCGTGAACATATCAAAATTACAACTAAATTATAGAACAGTCAACCTGGAGAACCATCTGAAGCCTGACTGAACAGAAGTTTTATAACTAAAGATGTAAAGAAGCCACGTTGAGACTGATAGGAGGGGTGGAGACAAGAAACAGGCCAGTCCCAAACCTCCATGTGGCGGATGAAAATTGGGAAGGCTGTCTCAGCCACGGAGGTTCCCCATGGGGAAAAAAGAAACCCCAGCCTCACACCAGGCTCCCTAGCCAAGATTACTGGTGCTGAAAAGAGGAGTCCCCACAACATCTGGCTGTGAAAAACAATGGGATTCTGACCATCCAGGTGGGTCAGAAGACTGCAGGAAAACCAGTCATCCTCTTAAAGGGCCCAAGTACAGATTCACTCACTCGCAGGTACTCACCCTGGGCACTGGTGGAGGGACGGTGACTCGAAGGGTGTCGGAGACAAATGAGGCAGACTGAGGTGTGTCGTCTCAGGGGGAAGCCTACAAGACAGTCTACATTTTCCCTGTGTGGAGTCCTTCTCCCCTGCAGCCGACAGGCAGGCGCCATCTTTCTTGTGTTAAGCCTGCGCCTACGCTTATGGCCAAATCTGAATCTAATTGGTGAGCTTGGCAACTCACCCTACTGACTCTGTACTGCAGGAGGCTTTATCCGTGGGTTGAATCTTACTGAAGCCAGTAACCAACAGCAGGTAGCAGCAGGCCTCGGGGTGTCCTGGCTTTTTGCAGAGCTACTCCAGGCCCAGTACTGGTGGCAGCCGTCCTCAGTTCGCAGCATGACCTCTCCCACATGCCTCCAGGTCTAGCACAGGCAGCGACCAACCTTGGATCACTCTGTAGCTCCTACCAGGCAGTTTCTGACCAGTTACAAGCAGTGGCTGACCTAACCTGCATCAGAGCCTCCCCCAAGAGACCCAGAATGAACATTCTTAGAGTTTGGCTTCAGACCACTGCAGAGCACTGCCAAATTAGCCCCACAAGTGGCACAACCAAAGCGTGGTCTCAACAGGCACCAGAGCCTGCTAGGGTGAATCCTGCTCACTGTGGTAAGCCCTGCAGCATAGCAGTCCAAAAGCTGGGGCCATGGCCAGATCCACAGCCAATCAGCCTGAGGGTCAATCCCACCCACTGACATGTCAATAGCAATCAAGGCTCAAATATAACAGTAGTGCACACAAACCCACACAAGGGACACTTCTGAAGTACCTGGCTCAGGTGACTAAGGAAATTGTGCTAGGACCCCACAGGGCACTTACTACATAAGGCCACCCAGCAAGAGATGTAGCAGATCTACCTAATACATAAAAACAAATGGAGGCTATAACAACAGACAAAGAAGTAGCCAGTAATCCCACTTCTAGGTATTTATCTGAAGAAATCCAAAATGCTACTTCGAAGGGACATATATATCCATATGTTTGTTGCAGCATTATTTACAATAGCCAAGATGTGGAGAACAGCCTGGGTGTCCATCGATGGATGAATGGATAAATAGGAGGTAGTACATATATACAATGGAATATTACTTACCCTTGAATGGGAATGGGTTCTTGCCGTCTGCAGCGGCATGGATGGACCTGGAGGGTATTGTGCTGAGTGGAGTATGTCAGACAGAGAAAGACAGATGCAATGTGGTTTCACTTATATGTGGAATCTCAAGAACAATATAAACAAACAAACAAAACAGAAACATACTCATAGATACAGAAAACATTTTGATGGTTGCCAGATTGGGGGGTCTGAGGTGGTGGGTGAAAGTGGGGGAAGGGATTAAGAAGTACAAGTTGGTTGTAACAAAGTAGTCATAGGGATGTAGGACATAGCAGAAGGAATATAGTCAATAATACTGTAATAACTATGTATAGTTTCAGATGGGTACTAGACTTACCAGGATGATAAATGAGAGAGGGGTTGGGGGACAGGGTGGAAAAGGTGAAGGGATTAAGAAGTACAAATTGGTAGTTACAAAATAGTCATGGGGATGTAAAGTAAAGCACAGAGAACACAGTCAATGATAAGGTAATAACTGTGTATAGTGCCAGGTGGGTACTAGACTAGTCAGGGGGATCACTTCTGTACCCCTGAAATTAATACAAAATATTGAATGTCAACTGTAATTGAAAAATTTTTAAAAATGGGGGGAGATGAAGCCAAAACAGGTTCAAATTTCCAGGTATAGAGCAAACGAGTCATGGGGATGTAACGTGCAGCATGGGGACTATAGTCAGAGATAGTCTTACAGCACAGTACGGGGTCAGATGGTTACTGGACTCATAATGATCACTCCTTTAGGTATATTAGTGTTGAAAAACTATGGTGTACACCTGAAACTGATATAATAATGTTGTTAGCTATATTTTTAATAGAAGTCTTTTAAAAAAAGAACGAACAACCTGGTTGGATTAGTCATTGATCCTGGTGAATAACAGTCATCTCATCGGCTAGCTAGCTTAGAGAAAGGGCATTGTCATGAAGAACTGAGGAGAGATGGATTCTATTTCTTCCCTGTCGTAGAGCTTTATGAAGGTCAGCTTGGGAACCTACAGGTGTTTTCTCTGAAGGACTCTCCTGTTTGTTGATTTCAGACTCGCAATCTTCAGAAAACACGGACCTGTATCGTGGAGCAGAGCGAATGTGCAGGGCCTTCTCTGCCCTTGTTGATCAAATCACCTTGCCCAGCTCAAAGTGAAAAGAAGTCCAGTCTCAAAGGCCCAGTGGGGTGATGATGACATGTATTTTCAAAATCTGTACTAAAAGAATTACGCCTTCTACCTTCTTAAAAGTCTTGTGTGAAGCGTGAAGAGAAGTGTTATTTTTTAATCTCCCTACACAAGTGTCTTAGTTCTTCAGAGTGAAGCCTCGGGAGCAAGGGGTGGTAGAGGGAAATGGAAAGAAAAGGCAGAGGCAAATCCTGATGTGCTGAGTTTCCAGCAATGGGCCGTTCTTACTTAGAATATGATAGTAGTAATATTCAAATGTGTAATCTACATGAATTCATGCAACTGTCTTCAATGTTATTTAAATTACTGAATTGATTATCTAATTTTCTATATGGATTCTCCTGCTGGAGAATAGGGTTACAAAAAACTACACACACACACACACACACACACACACAAATGCGCGCGTGAGAGCATGAGTGCATGCAGTACTAGCATAATCCGAATAAACTATGGATTCTACCAATGTCAATTCCCTGGTTGTATTATAATATTATAGTTATGCACAGCGTTACCACTGAGGGAAACTGGATGAGGGTGCACAAGATATCTCTGTATGATTTCTTACAACTGTATATGAATAAAAATTATCTCAAAATAAATTTATTTTTAAAACATGAACATTTCTCACCAAAACCTTGACTCCAGTGAGTTTGGCCAAAGTACTGTGTGCCTCCTTTCTCTGTAAGGTAGAGATGCTTAACCTAATAATGTCCAAAATAATAGCTAACATTTTCTGACTGTTAGAGCACTTAGTTTCTAAGCACCTTCCACGTACTGACTCATTTAATCCTCACAGCAAACCTAGCAGGCACATATCTCATTTTATGAGAAAACTGAAGCACAAAGAGGGTCAGTAACTTGTCCAAAGTCATTCGGTAAGTACTTGATGACGGTGAGATTTGAACCCAGCTCCCGAGCCTTTACTCGCACTACTGCTCTGTACTTTCTCTCAATAAATATTGTTACGATTTCATTGTTTTACCTATTATCTTGATGCACCATCCATGTTACATTTAGAGTGACTTTGGATTTTTATTTATATGGTCTATTATTTCTAGTACTGTTTCCAGAGTGAAATGATGTCCAGTTGGATAGGATTAGGACTAGGTGGTCCGTGTTCAATCTCATCCTAATATTTTTGGATTTGCTTTTCAGTCTATCACAAATTCTCGATTTTGGTTTTGTAACTCAATGAATTCATTCTCCTTCTTACTTCATCCCAGCTTGCTCCTTACAAGTTTGATAAGCATGTCCTAGACACCGGGCCGTAAGCTCCAAGTTAAATCCCGCCCACTGCTTGTTTTGTAGAGGCTGTGAGAAAAGAATGGTTATTACATCTTTTTTAATAATTGAAAAAAAATCAAATGAAGAATAATATTTTGTGACACTTGAAAATGATATGAATTCAAATTCCACGGTCCATTAACAAAATTGTATTGGAACACAGCCACGCTCCTCTATTTACTTATTGTCTGCCGTCGATTTCATTCAACAAAGGCAGAATTGATTAGTTGCAACAAAGACTGGATGGCCCACAAAGCATATGATATTTACTATCTGACCCTTTACAGAAAAATCTGGCAGCCTCCGATGTGCAGTACCCAGGTGAGGGAGAAGCAAGAGGCAGGCATTGTAAGCATAGTAAGAGTGGCATTGTTTTCAATGAATTATGAGAGGTAATGAGTTTATGTGACGGTGTTTAAGAATATGATGAAAGACATCAGAGAAAGCAGCATGACAGCAAAACCATGAGCCCATGCAGAAATGGTAGTCACAGAATGGCTGGCAGCTTTGAATGTCCTCATTCTCCTATCCAAGAAAAGCTGAGGCTAGGCCCTTCCCACTTCCTTCCCCAGGTTTGTTTCCTCGATTGAAGGACTTAGCTAACCCTCAGATGCAGCTGTGTCTTCTAATAATAACACTTTAGATAAGGTTTTTAGCTTATGGAGGGCCCTAAACCTTCAGTGAAAACATTTCCTGAGGCTTTCTTTGGACACGGTAAAAGCAAGTAGATTGCTAACATATCTGAAATTCAGACTGGTTGTCAATCATTGGCTATAATAGTCATCATGACTGAGAGATGAGAGTAATTAGAGATAAAAATAGCAGTGTGTCTGGAACTTAGATAAATTTGCTAATTGGACTTCTCTGCTATGAACCTTATTCAGGCCTGGTCATTTTGAGGGAAAACATTTTTTTTTTAAGATTTTTTTTATTGGGGAACTGGGGGATGGAATAGCGCTGGGGAATTGAGGGAAGGGGAACAGACAAGTTGCTGTCGTTTTGTTCTTCAGTCTAGTTGTGGAGGACGTTGCTTCACTGGCCCAAGTTGGCACCATCATTGTGCTCTTCCCGGGTGAGGCAGATCAGTCACTGGCTTCTGGACGGCCGATTACAGTGGCTGGTCACGCTGGCTGCTGGCTACACACGGTAGCCCATGGTAACCCACTGCCACAGGGGCTGCAGCCTACGCCTTCGCCGGTGACTCACGGCAGCCCAGCTCCAGGTTGAGCTGTTGTTCAACATCTTAGCTGTAGAGGGCAGTGTCACTGGCCCTCATATGTGGGATCCGAACCGGGGCCCACTGGCGTCCCTAGCCAGCTCTTAACCAATGCGCCACTCGGCCGGCCCTGAGGGAAAACATTTTTATGGGTTCTTTTCTTTTTTATTAGTTTCAGGTGTACAAAACAATGTAATAGTTAGACATTTCACCCCTCACAAAGTGATAACCCCCATGATGTCAGAGGGTTATTTTCTTATAAAGCTGTTCATTTTACTTTTAGCTTGCTTTTCAATGCAAAGTGTAACCAATTATAAAGTTTTAATATGTAATCAAACAGAAAATGTGCTCAGTGGAAAATAACTTATACTTACAGCTATTTTATTAAAATTTGGATTATCCTTAATGGTAATATTAAATATTGAAATAAAGAGACTTCAGTAACATTACTTGGGTCCAGAGCTTTTATTAATTTTGTTTCTATTAGAAGAATACTTTATCACCAGTTTTTTGTTTTGTGTTGTTTTTTGCTTCATCTGTTTGAAATATTCAAAAATATACTTTCAAGCAAGATTCAGGTATACAGATCATCAGTACCTGGCGACTAATAAATATTGTCCCTTATATGCTTGTGCATAAGCAATCCAGTAGTTAATGGCTCAGAAGTCATGCAATGTAGTCAAGTTAAATGTACGGCACTCTAGTTCATTAACCATGTCAAGAATCCCAAACCAAATGATCCAAATGAATACAAAAAATCTGAGTAGCCCTCAACCCCTACTCATCATTGGAAGCCATTTTAACTCTTTCAGACAGTGGGATGATCTGACAGTAAGGTCGCCATTTGAAGGAACACCCTAGCTGCCTACAAGAATGAAGCTAAGTACCCTGAATGTGACTTAATATTTATCTCTGGACACTCCCCCCATTTCAGGTAAATAAATGATCAGTAGTCAAGAAAATATATATATTTATATATTCATATATATATATATATATATATGTGTGTGTGTGTGTGTGTGTGTGTGTGTGTGTGTGTGTGTGTATTTTAATTCCAAGATGTGAGTTAGCTCTGAGGTTAGGTTTATTTTCTCTTTATTTCCAGGCCACTGGTCACTTTTCCAGCAAACTTAGGCCCACTCCTGCGCACATGCATCATTAGCAAATCTTCAATCAATTCTTTCTTCTTCAGGAAAGGGATTCTTAGTTGCTGAGAATATGCACCTGAAAGGAGAGAAAAGGAGCAAATAATTAAGTCACCAAATTATTTTCAGGTTAATTAAATATCCACATATTGGTTTTTAAAAGGAATTTTGCTGATTCTGCCACTGATATCAAAATTCTGTATAAATTTATTGCTGAGGTGTGCTATCTGTCCTATGCAGTTTAGTGATAAAATACAAATTAAGTAAATTGTAATAAATATACTTTCTTGTTATTATATATTAAGATATATTTTTCTGATTAAAAAAGTAAAAATTATCATTATGTAATTTTTAAGATAAAAATATAAAGAAAAAACTTTAAACCACCCATAATATAATCTTCCAGAAACAACTACAGTTTTACACATACATACTTTATACCATAATTAAGTTTGCCATTACCCTATTATGGGGCATTTGGATTGTTTTCAAATTTTCTGTTACTATAAATAATATTGCAGTGAAGAGCCTCATACTGGCTACATAGTGGTGACATCTCTGAATGTTTCCTTAGAACAGATTTCAGGATGGGTAATTTCTGAATATGTTGCTTAGGAAATTTCTTGGAGTAAAGTAGAAAATCAAGCATTTGCAAATTTAATTATTTATATATCTGAAACATTGTTTTTTCTTCTGCTTAGTGTTTAAAAAATAACCAGTATGGTTATTTGCCAGCTAGTTAGACATGAACTGCAAACATCATCAAATTATAGATCTAAATTTTAATTTTCTTGTCATGGAGGAAAGCCAAGAGTCCCAATTTTTCTAGAACATACAAACTGCCAGTCTCAGGCAGGCAGGTTTTTTGTTCCTCTCAGTGGCAAAGCAATACTTGTTAAAGGAAGAGGGGAAGAGGCCATCATTTTTGACACACAAAATCCCTTCATGGGTATTGAAGCCTTTACTAATTCATGAGTTAACCTCAACTCTGTTATTTTCTATTTGACATTCAGAGTGCAAACGCTAACTGAGCCTCTTCTGTTTGGGAGTTATCATCAGCCTACTCTTTTTCCTAAATCAATTAATCTCTCTCTCTCTCTCTCTCTCTCTCTCTCTCTCTCTCTCTCTCCATAGTCCATCATAATTTAGTGGTTAAACCTGGTACACCCTTCTTCACACCTTTTAGATATTTCAGCATTTAGTTGTTAGCTCATATTTTTCTGGACTAAATACCAATGATCTTTGAGTCTTCTCAAAGGATGATATCTCTATCCCTTAGATATTTTTGGGATTCTCTCTTCTGGATTTCCTCTGTTCCTGCTTATCACTGTTACAAACAACCAGAGTGTTCAGGTCACCATCACCCAGCTTGGTAAGCTGTCCTTGGGGTAAATCTCTTCCAGATTCTTTTTAGAATTAAATACATGCATTTTGTACATTTCTTTTTATAGACACACAGAACATTAGAATGGAAAGCCTGAAGAGAATTTATGGGTCATTTAGTTCTTTCCATACCCCTCTCTTTCAGGTGAAGAAACTGAGGGCTGAATAAGTTAATTAACTTGCTCAATTACACAGTTGTTTGATATCTCTTGTTTTTATATTTGTTGACCCAACAGTAACAAATATGATGTTAGCATACAAAATTATATAGAAGCTTTGTGTTTTTAACAAAGCATGGCTTATAGCAAAATTTCTCAAGTGTACTTAAACAATTTAATCTGAAAAAAATCAAAATAACAAGAACGTTTTAAATATTATATAGGAACTTATTTGAGTTCGTTCCTTCTGCTCTGATGATGTGAATTCCCTGAGAACAATAGAGACAAACACCTCTTCACCCATACCCCCATCCCAACATGATAGCGTATTAATCCCCCAAGGACCAAAAAAAAAAAAAGTGAAGAATTTGTGCAGGTACATCCAGAGCCCAGCTGAGCCACTAGAGATTTCACCAAGACTCTTGAGATGAAATCTCAATGTTCCTGCAACTATTTCACTTTTAGACATGGTGTCTTCTTGACCCAAGACCCTCTTGGACTATAATTACACAAATCAAAGGGAAGGTCTTGTTTCCTGATCTGCAAACAATTGTTTATGTCAAACATTAAAATAGCTTCAATAAAGTGAAATGTTCACTCTTGCTACTTGGATAGCAACTCCAGCTAAAGTTGGCAGATCAGCTGGGTCAATAGCAACTCTGCAGCAAACTGAAGGAAGTGGATTCCAAAGCTGAAGGTAAATCTATTTCTTTTTTAAAGATGAAAATAGAAATACCACGTTGAAGTATGCTCAAAAAATTACATGTAGTCACAGACTCTTCTGATAGCCTCATTGCAAGCAAGCAAACTGAAATCCGTTTTAAAGAAAGAATATATATATTATATAGGATCATTTTCATGTTCAGCTGAACACATTATTTTCATTTATTCTAGAGATATTTGAGTAATTCAAAGTGAGTACAAAATACAAAAAATAAATATTGATAGTCATTTGAGTATAACAGCTCAATAGAATGGGAATGGAAGAAAGGGCTATACAGTACAGATGACAAAAACGTACAGTCCTTACTGATACTGATATCTTGGCAGCCTCTGTTCAAAATATTTTTTAAACATTTAAAGACACTCATTTTGTATTTCTACTTTAGTAGATAAGCTGCTGAAATAATATTTTCTCTAAAAAAGAATATTGATTTAAGATACAACAACACTTCCTCCAAATAATAAATTTATCTATAAATAATAGCCGTGGATTACTGGTTTTATGGATCAGCAAATCATGAAGATTTTTAGTTACCAAGGTTAAAACAAACTAGATATATAAATGCTCTACAATATCTTGATAAGGGTTGATTTAAAATGATTACTGTTAATTGCTATTTTAATAGATTATAGGAATGTATAACAATTCTCACAATAAAATGTACAAATATAAAATTAGTTATGTCTCAGTTTTCCACTGGTGCATCAATAATTCTAAGAGTCACTACCATTCAATTGGCCCTTGCTGTAAGCATTGGAAGCTCATGGGTTGAAACAACACCAAAAAAGGAAAAAACAATATGAACAGTGCTAAGGTATCCCTCAGCTTACTCACAGAGGCTAATTCTTCCTTGTTCTAATTCTATAAAAGATATTTCTTCTAGCGCCTCCAGAGAAGACTGTTTTTGTATATAATATTTACTCTAAAAATATTTCACTCTACAAATGTAGAGTGAAAACCTCTACATTTGTAGGAAGTTCCAAATTATGAAACATTAATTACTCAGCTTGCTGGGAGTTAATTACTTATTTGAGATTTGTTTAAAAAGCAATGAGGAATGAATTTGCAAGCCAGCCAATTTTTCTACCCTTTTCTTCATCAACTAAGTACATCTCAAGAAGCCCCTCCATTTACGTGAAAGCAATGTTTATTTGTTTGTTGTAGTTTAAAAGGGGCAAGAACGTATGTGTTGTAGATATTCCCCAGGCTTATATTCAAACCTTCCCAATCCCATGGCAAATAAACAAAAGTTGTGACACCCAATGTTCAGGCTCATGGTGAAAAAGAGTGTTAATTTTGGAGCATCGCTTTATACCCCCATGTTGTATTTTGGGAATCATACTGTTCTTTACTTGTTTTTCTGACTCTTCCTTGCTTCTGTTCATATGAAGTATGAAGATGAGGACAATATGTTGATATAAACAGCTACTATGAAACACAAAAGGAAGTGCTATCTATCTTCCTATCACTTGTGTACTTTGCACCCCCGAGAGGTGTATATGTGGCAGTAGAGATCCCTAAAGCCATTTCTCTCTTCCTCACAGTTCAGCACGTCTATAGTTGATTGACCCTTTCAAGACTTCGGACCAGGGGTTAACCACCTTGTTTTCTGCCTGTGTGTTGTAGATGCACTGCTGAGATCTTCTCCTCCTCTCCAGCCAATTGCCTCCTTCCTAAGCCATGGTTCCTGGAGAGGACACAGTCCACATATATGTCCCAGAAGAGTTGGGCCAGATCCCAAAACAGTGCCCCATGCTTCAAGTTCTCAGATGACTTCAGGTAGATCATAAAATCCCAGAAACCTGAAACACTGTTGGAAATTCGAGGCTTCCGCATTTCCAGGAGGAGCACTGAAGAAGACTCCCAGCACTGGGGATCGGCTTGGTTAAGAGCCAATAGGTCTGTCTGGCTATGACAGAGGAAAGGAGACACACAGCACATTCCAACAATGAGCAGGGAGCAGGTGAGGCTCAAAGGGCGGTAGATCCCTCCTCTGTTCCCAGGATCAGCCATGACCCTGAAAATGCAAATGATGGAAATACCTCATATGAGTCCCTGCTCATGCTCCATTCAGGAAAGAAAATTAGTATTATGCCTTTAAGAACCTTGGTGCCGGCAAAGGAAGCACACCATTGTTTTTAGGAAAACTCTTATCCTTCCTCCCATATCACAATCCCCATTCTATCTAAAATTTATTCATTGTTTAGCAGGTAGTGTAAATCCAAGATATAGATACTAAGAAATATTTATTCTTAAAATGTGTTCCTTTGTAAGATAAATAAGTGAACATGTTTTTCCTAGTATAGAAGAATATAGTTTAAAAGAGAATTAAGTGAAAATTTAAAATTTTGCTGCATGGCTTTAATTATTCTATATTGTAATTTAACTTAGCTATCTTAATGAAGGATTCTCATACAATTAAGAATTCGAATATATTTTACTCTTGGAGGCTTTCCTATTTGGGTAATTTTAATTTTTTAAAAAGGCATAAGAATTATAAAGTGCTGTAAATAAAAATCAACACAGATAATGTGCTAAAATGTATGTGAATCAAGGAACATATATTTAACCCATTAGAGTAGAACAAATAGACACTTTACAAACACCTAAAGTGTTCTACAATTCTGATACAACTTTTATAAGCATGATGTTTTCTCATTTCTCTCTTCTTGCTATAAATCTCAAGAATTTTAACAAAACTCCTTTGCCCTTCATTCAACTTTTCTGGCTATCAAAGCCTGTTGCAATAGAATCAAGGCTTCCATACCCTACTTTGAAATTGTTAAGTTACACTTCAGACAAGTGCAATGAGAAGTGATGTCCTTAAAATAATAACCTAAATTTTCCCAGAATAAAAAGGTTATCTGACTCTTCACAGACTACACAAAATGTATATTATACTTAAACACCTATAACATAAAGAGAAAACAGGGGTGCATACACACAGCTCACAGTGTTATATTTCCAAACCTTCTAGATGTGTTAGTATCACGAAGGCAAGCAGGGCACAGCTCATGGGAATATGTCTATATTGAAACATTTAATGATAACATCATAAGATGGAATCTTTCATTTCTGCACAGCAGCACTCTTAAATCAATATTTCAGAAACTGTCTTTGCACATGTATGTTCCTGTTTTGAAGAAGCATGTTGAGATACAATGTTATTCAAAAATGTTTTCTCTGTATTTCAGAGAATGTACACAGGATATGTCCCTGAACAAAATTATATTCAATATGTCCTCTTCTGAACTAAAATATCAAAATTGAGGGGCCTCTAAGGTTTATTTTTCTTAAGAGGACAAGTCCAAGATGTCAGTGCTAAGTAGAAGACAGAGGGCGGGACGCTGTCCAGGGTACTAAAGTTAGCGTTGCCCGGGTCCCTCTGTCTGCTCGCTCCACAGCGCTCATATTTGGCTCGGGTAGGTTCCCTTCTCTTAGGAGTCTTTCTCAAGCTTGGAAGTTCCTCATCCTTGGGGTCCTCCTTGAGCCCCACTACGACGCCCGCTAAGATCCCCGTGCTGAGCTCGGCGCGTCTCGTCCCAGTACCTGGTTCTACAGCCTCGCACTCCTCGGAGCAGAGCTGTGCCAGGCACCCTCTCTGTCCTTTGTGCCCCAATAAATAGCCTCCTAGCTCTACGCCTTTACTCCCAGATGGCAGAAGGGCGCCCCTCCGCACTTACCTGCTCTGCCCAGTCTGGATTCCCTCGAGTGTGTAGAGAGAAAATGCTCAGGCTGCTCCCCGAGCGAGTGACGGTCCCCCCCCAGCTTCAGCGTCTTGAAAGCTACGGGGCCTCTTCTTAAGCAGTGGGAGTGTTCCGCGCCTCTTCAAATCTACGTCAAAGCGCCGGGAAACTGCCGCCACCTCTCGCCCCCAAGTCCATCTCCCACACCCTCCCTTCCCTGAAGACTTCACTTCAGTAATTAGGCAGGCTTAGCGACACACACCCTCATTGACCCTGGCGCACACCCACCCTCCTCCATCCAGCTGAAGTGAGCCTTTGTGCGGTTTAGCTTTTCAACCCTACCGCGGGAGGCGGGACGCTGCGGGCGGGAACTGGGAAGTTAGGATCCAGCCCGGGGCAGGTCCAGGAGCGAGTGGGACTCCCCAGATTCCCACTCTCCAGGCGTGCCTTGTTTGAGAATAAAGAAATGTGAGGGAAGTCCCGGGACTCTTACGGTCGAAGAAGGCACAGGGGTTCCCTCCCAGCGCTCAGTAAAGGGCTGCGAGGAAATAAGGTGCTTCCCCGAGATATCCTGGGTGTGGATTTCTCCTGCTTGCCTGGGGATCTGGCGGGAAGGAGAAAAACACCCCTGGGGCAAGGGTATGGGTAGGGGCGTGGCCCTGCTGGTAGCTCCCCCTGACTTGGGACCGAATACTCGTCATCTCCAAGCTCTGTGGCCTGGATCACTTCAGGATCCCGGGTTGTTGCCAGCATAGGTTGCTTCAGCCCAACGCTCCAGATTCACAGAGCGGGAGGGGGTGGGGCGTTCTGCTTTCCAAGAAGAGGAACTGCTTGGGATTGCCTTTGATTCTCAACTGACAGCTAGTTAATATCTTAGTTGGGGCTAGAGCCCTGTCACCCCTTTAGGGTTCTGCTTACCATTAGCATCCACCCCAACTGAAATATACCCAGCCAAGGAGCCTGAGGCAAAAGTCCTAACTTTGAAAGTGTTTCCAGGTTTTGCCCCTCGCCTCAAAACCCTCTAAGCATCCTGAAAACCACTTGTAGTCTACTTTAACTGAAAGCTTTTGTGCCAGCTTAATAGTATCCATGGTTACCTTCCAGAGGGGCACCGGGAAGAACCCAGGCTTATAGCAAGTTTTACTGAAGATATGGAGAAGACACCCCCTGCCCAAGTGATAGGAAGAAAGAGGTCTGGAGAAGATTCCTTAAGGGTTCTGGGATTTTTCTCCTGCTCTGAAACTGAATGGATTGTACTTGAGTTTCTCAATCTGTGAACTGGGCATACTAATGCCCTCTTCTTCTTCTTCTTCGTTTGTTTTTAAAGATTTTTATTGGGGAGTTGGGGGGATGGGAACAGTGCTGGGGAATTGGGGAAGGGGAACAGACAAGTTGCTGTCATTTTTTGTTCTTCAGTCTAGTTGTGGAGGACGTTGCTTCACTGGCCCAAGTTGGCACCATCATTGCACTCTTCCCGGGTGAGGCAGATCAGTCGCCCGCTTCTGGACGGCTGCTCACTGCGGCTGCTGGCCGCTCACGCCGGCTGCTGGCTACACACGGTATCCCATGGCAACCCACTGCAGCAGGGGCTGCAGCCTACGCCGTCGCCGGCGACTCACGGCAAGGGCAGCCCAGCTCCAGGTTGAGCTGTTGTTCAGCATCTTAGCTGTGGAGGGCAGTGTCACTGGCCCTCATATGTGGGATCCGAACCGGGGCCCTCTAGAGTCCCAAGCCAGTTCTTAACCATCACGTCACTCGGCCGGCCCACTAATGCCCTCTTCTAATTGCATCCTAATGATGTGGGAGAAAACCATAGGTAAGGTCTTGGACTTGCTTCAAGGTCTTCTTGAGGTCGTCAGCCTCTTGGAGAATGTCATTAGAGAAAGAGTGTGCGAGCACAAGGATAAAGATTGGCATGGGAGAGAGCCCTGAGGAAGGGGAAAGGAAAGGGACAAGTGGGGGCAGAGGAGGCATCTTTGAGGAGGTGACTGGTGAACCTCTTGAAGGAGGATTTATATAGGTGTCATGAGGCCAAAAGGGAGGGAGGGGATGGTCTCCTCCAGGCAGAGAAACCAGCATGAGCAAAGGCATGGAAGGAACACTCAAAGCCATTCTGTGTTTCTGGGGAGCAAAGTCAAGGAAAGGAGTGTGGACAGAGATGGGAGAACAGAGGTAGGGATGTGGGGATTTAATTCTGGTTTGGGACATGTCGATAGTTACATTACCCTTGAAAACCTCGGTGTATAAATAAACAGTTCTTACTTTATTTTGAAGTGCCCATTCTAGACGTTGTGTATACAGGAGGAATAAAACAAAATCGCTGCACTCAAGGAGATTACATTCTTGTCGGGGTAGGGGGATAAAGTTTGTATTTTAATTTTAAAATTATATATATGGATAATGATTTGTGTTTCTAGTTTCTGGGTTGAATTGTGAAGTTACAGCTATGTATAAAAAACAAACACATAACTAGCTAATTAAATAAACAAATAATGACATGCATGAGTCAATAATAAGAGTTTATCTATCATTCCAAAGCCCAAGGAAAATATATATGTAACATGTCAAGTGTGATAAGAAAAAACAAAAAATTATCAAGAAAAAGTAAAGCAGGATTAGAAAAGGATGACAGAGAAGAGCAATTTCATATGGAATACTGAGAACTCCTTCCTGATAGGAAGTTGTTCGAATAAAGATGTTAAAGTGAAAGAATGAATCATGCATATACATTTGAAAAAAAAATGCTTCAGCTTGGGCATTAGGGAAGCATAGAGAAGAGTGTTTCCCAGGTATAATAATGGTGGGAGATGAGGTCAGAAAGGTGGTCAAAAATTCATCCTGGCTGCTCAGTAGAAAACAGACTAGAGGGCCGGCCGAGGGGCGCGATGGTTAAGAACCCGCTTGGGATGCCAGAGGGCCCCGGTTCGGATCCCACATATGAGGGCCAGTGACACTGCCCTCTACAGCTAAGATGCTGAACAACAGCTCAACCTGGAGCTGGACTGCCGTGAGTCGCTGGCGACGGCGTAGGCTGCAGTCCCTGTGGCAGTGGATTGCCATGGGATACCGTGTATAGCCAGCAGCCAGCGTGAGCGGCCGGCAGCCGCAGTGAGCGGCCGTCCAGAAGCCGGCGACTGATCTGCCTCGCCCGGGAAGAGTGCAATGATGGTGCCAACTTGGGCCAGTGAAGCAATGTCCTCCACAACTAGACTGAAGAACAAAAGGATAGCAACTTGTCTGTTCCCCTTCCCAATTCCCCAATAAAAATCTTTAAATAAAGAAAAAAAAAAGAAAACAGACTAGAGGGGAACAAGGGCAGAGGTAGGGAGTC